GGCTACAAAGTGAGCTCAAGGCCAGCCTGAACTGCACAGCGAGACCCTGTCTCAAAAAGAAAAATAAATAAATAAATAAATCTTCAGAAAATGGCTGTTTGCGATACACAACAAGAAGGAAAACCGGCGAGTTTACCGTGAATTTTCGTAGAGCCCACTTCCAGCCATCTCGCTGTCTTTCCTAACAATTAAATTCTGTTTGTTTGTTTTTTTCCGATACCGGGAATCGAACTCACGACCTTGCGCTTGCCAGGCAGGCGCTGTGCCGCTGAGCTAAATCCCCAGGCCCCTGTTTTTGGTTTTTTGTTTGTTTGTTTGTTCTTTGTTTTTTTCCGGAACAGCGAAATTCTGGAAGCACAGCTCTGTCGGCGGACGATCGGCTGCTGGTTTGTGGGGAAACCCAAGCAGGAAATGCAGAGGCTTGTCTCCCCCACACACACACAAGCCCCGCTGTAAAATTGGGATAATAACAGCAACTCTGGGCATCCCCAGCAGCATCCCAGAGGACAAATGGGGTGGGAGGGGCCCTGCACCGAGACAGAGGGGTCTCAATCTGTGAGCGCACACTCTCTCCCACCCCATTCCTTCAGTAAATAATAAAGAGAGGAACTATAAAGCTAGAACATTGTATTTTAATGAATTACACACTAAATTACAAATAATGTTAATAGCACTCAAGGATAAGAGGTGGCAGAGAAGGCAAAAATCATAAAGAGAAAAAGTATTTAAGAAAAAAACATTTGAATGACAAAATCCCAAGGTGCACAATAAATCTAGCCACTCAACCAAAAAAAAAAAAAACCAAAAGAACCACAACAAAAAGACTGTAACCTGATATAAATATAATTGTTCATCCTTCTTTTCCCAATACCCCTACTGTGTCACAGCCCTGTAAAGTGTCAGCGTTCTCAAAATGATGTTTAGACCTTAGCTTCCACTCCCCTAGGGTGAGAGGTGGCTTTCAAAGGAAGACAGAAGGAGGGATCCCTGGCAACTGAAGAATTAAAAATCCTAAAAGGAAGAGAAAACTTCGAACATCTCTCACCTGCCTCATAGGGCCGTGGTGAAGCAACACAAACCCTGCGCCTTGGGTCTCCGAGCCTCCTGTCCGCCCAAAGCAGGGACATAGGCACTGGCTGCAGCCATTTCTTGGGCTTCCTCCCAGGGGCTGAATCTTGAGTCTCCTAGCCTTTTAGGTCAGATGAAACACTGAAAAACTTGGCTGATTGGATCTATTTTTGAACTAATTCTTTAAAACAAGTCCCCCCCCCCCTTTATTTTTTGGCTTGTTTCTCCCAAGTTCTAGTGTAGTCCCTGCTGTAAATTGGTCTTTATGAAAAACAGTGGCAGCAGAAGACTTGGGTCCCGTCTCACCCCAAACACGGGAAATGATTAGGCCGTTCAGATTGCGATAACGAATGGGATTGGGTGAGGGGCCGTTTTGTTTTGAATCCCACGCCTCCTCAGCAAAAGAGGGGGAGGAGGGCGGTGGAGCTAAGTTAAGTGCCTGTAATACTGAAGTTTCGTTTTCACCTGTTCCTCCTCTCCACTCCTGGGTACCCAGAGCTGGCTGGACAAAAAGGGAAGGCAAGTGTTAAGGCACCCAGAAACGATCAGAGCGCCCGCCTGATCCAGATCACCCAGAGCCAAGCCAGGTGAAACCCGCAGCGGAGGAGAGGGTGAGGCTGAGGGTGAAGGCTCGGGCAAGGACATCACAGCCGAAGGTGGGGGACTGTCTTGGTCACATCCTGGAAGAAGGGGTGAGCCAGAGCTGCTTTTGCGGAAATGCGCTTATTGGGGTCGTAGTGCAGCATTTGCTAGAGGAAGAGACGGATGATGTGTTCAGTAACACGGAGGAGGACGTTCTCAGAAGCCAGGAAAACAGAACTCCTTCTACCCAGTTTTCATTCCCTCCTCCCACATCTGAACCAGAGCGCTGTGAGAAAAGCCCGAGCTCAGGAAAGGTGGCTGCGACCCAGAGTTCAGAGTTCAGGGTCTCGGCTTTCCTTCCCGGAAAGGCCCCTCCCCGGGGGAATGAAGGAGCGCTGCCCGCGCCCACTCCCCGCCCTTACCGACAGCAAGCTCCGTCCATCTTCATCCAGGGGAGGCACGACTTTGCTAAAATCCTGCCGGGCCCACTTGGGGAAACTTGGCTTATAATCAGGCATAGAAGTAACTCCTGGCCAAACTACCTCATCAGGGGTCCCTAGAGTCCGAAAGATCCGGAAGAGTTGGTCAATCTCCGAATCTCCAGGGAACAGGGCACGGCGGGTCACCTGAAAATCGGGAAAGAGGAAAAGGCAAGACCCAGGCTGACGTGAATCAAAGACGTCCCGGCACAAAGGAGGTTCCCACAGGCCATGGAAGAGCAGCAGGGCCCCATGACTCCCTCCCTGGGGCCGCTCGAGGGGTCGGTCACACATAGCCGGAGACAATGAAGCCCCTTCATCTCTCTCCTCATCCCCTCCTTCCTTCCCCCACGGTGGCTTTGCAGATCCCGAGGCTGGGTGGGGCTGGGAGGGGGTGAATGTCTGGGGTGCCACTGACGTGTAGCAAAGGGATCCCAAGCCACTCACGGGGTGTGGGGTAGACACTGCGGTCATCCCCCCTCCTTGTGATGCCGCCACTTCTAGATAGGAGCACAGCGCGCACAGACTGTGTCTTCCATCTCTTCTGTGTTCCCCACAGCACTTAGCATGGTGCTGGGTACACACTAGGTACTTAACAAATATTTGTTGATGAATTGAGAGAGGAATATGGGCAATTGGAAGGTAACGTACTGGGGGTAAATGCACAGTATTTATAGATATAGACATATTTGTGAATTGTCTCTACGCCCCCAGTTACAATCCAGATAAAGGACCATTACACATAGTGGTGACTTGATATGAGGCCTCGGCCTACTCCATTGTATTAAAGGGGATGGGAGTTCTTACATAAGGCCAGGCCTCAAGGATCCTTAAGTCTGAAACGCCCAAGGTTTGGGGGGACATGCTCTAACCCTGCCTTTAAATAAAGGGTATGGGAAAGTGAACACAGCTGCTCTCACTACATTTCCGGCCTCCTACAGGCCAAAAGAAGGAGACACTAAGTGGAACTCGGTCTTCCAAACATGTGACACTAAAACTAACACAGCTGAATGACGACAGGAACGACTTGGCTCATTTCAGCAATGAGAGATGTATATACTCGAGACTGAGTCTACGCTAGCTGAGGACACCCTAACATTGCGGTGGATGTGCAGGGGTCACGGTCCTATTGCTATCATCCCCTCTTGGTGCTACTCTAGAGAACCCTGAGAAAAAGATGGGCTGTGGTTCTGGGCCAAGAAATGATTGTGTTGTTCTCGGATGCGGGGAGGAATGGGCTGGGTAGAACTGGGGCAAGCTCCCATACCATCTCAGCAAAGATGCAGCCTAGGCTCCAGATGTCCACGGCCGTGGAGTAGTATTTGCAGCCCAGAAGGATTTCAGGGGCTCGGTACCACAGGGTCACCACCTAAGGCACAAGAGTAGGACGTGGAGAGGTGGTTTAGAGGACACATATTTCTGTATCTCAGCTCCTAAAAAAACTCTTAACTCTCTCTCAGCCTCTGTGAGCAGTTTCCTTCCCTTCCTCTGATTTCCCCTAAGAAAAGTAACTATACAACCTGTTGCCCCAGAATGAGCCTAGTCCAGGGGTCTAGGGACCATAGTTTCTGAACTCCCAATTTGGGACCGTCCTGGAAAATGGTCGGGATTTTCTTTTCTTTTCTTTTTTTCTGAGTCAGGATCTTGCTATGTTGTCCAGGCTGGCTGTGAAGTTGCTACCCTCCTGTTTCAGCCTCAAGTGCTGGTATTATGGACCTGTAGCAGCATCACGCTCAATTTTTTGTTCTTTTTTTTTTTTTATTTTTTTGAGACAGGGTCTCACTATGCAATTCAGGCTGGCCTTGAGCTCACTTTATAGCCCAGGCAATGACCCTCCTGCCTCAGCCTCCTGAATGCTGGGATTACAAGCACGTGTCACCACACTAGCTTTTTTTGTTTGTTTGTTTGTTGAGACAGGGTCTCTCTTTGTAGTCCACATTGGCTTTAAATTCACTATGTAGCCCAGGCTGGCCCCAAACTTGAGGGGATCTTGCTGCCTCATTCTCCCAAGTCCAGGAATTACAGACATATGCCACCAAACCTGGCACAAATGGTCATAATTTTAAGTGTGCCATGGGGCTGGGGATTTAGCTCAGCGGCACAGTGCCTGCCTGGCAAGCGCAAGGTCGTGAGTTCGATTCTGGGTACTGGAAAAACAAACAAAAAAACAAACAAAAATTAAGTGTGCCATTCAGTTGTCCTGGCTTAGTATCTTTTTTTTTTTTAGGTTTTTTTTTTTCCAGTACTAGGAATCGAACTCACTACCTCGCGCTTGCCAGGCAGGCGCTCTGCCACTGAGCTATATCCCTAACCCCCTGGCTTAGTATCTAAACCCAGTTAGCCTGACAGCATGAATTCTGTGTATACCCTAAAACCCTTAGGATATCAGAAATTCCTTCCATCTACTGAGAAAGAAACTGTTGGTCAGAGAGTTTTGGCAACTTTATAAACTGTCCTTGTTAACGCTTCTCAGGATGCTCAGAAAAGAACAGCATAGAGGACATACCTCATGGGTGTAAGTGCGAACAGGGACTCCAAAGGCTCTGGCCAGCCCGAAGTCTGCTAGTTTGATGGCTCCATCTGCGTTGATAAGCAGATTCTGAGGCTTAAGGTCCCGGTGCAGGACCCGATGAGAATGGCAAAATGCTAGTCCTTGGAGCAGCTGAAACAGATAGTTCTAACAAAGGGGAGAGGGAGACTGTGATTCTCTGTCACAATGTGCGGATTAGCGTTTGCTCTTTGCCCCCTAAACTCTAAACCCTTTATGTGTTAGATTATCACTACATGTTTAAAAACTATTTTTCCCACTGGACTTTCAGCCCAGTGAGGATAAGAACCAGGTTGACTCAGTTTTACAACCTTTTTTGTATCGCGTGCTTAGCACACTGATGTAGTTCGGTAAATGTGTGCTGAATGAATATTTGTTAAAAAATTGAAAGTAGCTCCAGGGGTGAAGAATTCATCCCTAACAGACAGCAGAGACTCACTGGCTATTTTTCCCACTGAGCAGGTAGAAGGGCTTTTTGGCGGAATCTACCAACTGCCCTCAAACCCCATTTATCTGCGTTTCATCTGACCTCCCACCAGAGGCAGTCAGGGTGACTCACTGGAGTTTTAACTTTGATTCTTCAGCCCAACCCTACGGCTAAAGAGTGTAATGAGCAGGGAAACATGCAAAAGGAACGGTGGGAGCTGACTGCGAAGGCAGCCAAAATAACGAAATTATCCCCCAGTCTGAACCCCCAGCCTCCAGTCCCTCCAGGAACGCGTGCACGGTGAGGTGGAGCTGTCAGATGGGTCACCTTGATGAGAGGAAGAGGGACACCAGCGAGAGCAGAGGCATCCATGAACTTCTTGAGATCCTGGTGCAGAAATTCAAAAACCAGGTAGAGCTTATTTTCCGTGTGGATGACATCCAGCAGCCTACGGGACAGGTGGTCCAGGAAACGCAGGTAAGAGGGAGAAATGCCCGCACTCGACAGATGAGACCCATCCTAGCAGAACGCCCCCCAGACACCACTTACTTGACAATGTTGGGGTGGTTAAGCTCCTTAAGCAGAGAGATCTCTCGAATGGCAGTACTGGGGACACCCTCAGTCTCACTTGGAGAGGGTGGGAAAGCAGAGATGGGAACAGGGTTACAAATATCCCTTTGGACACTGATTGGTCGACGCCCCCGCCACGTCCCCTTGCAAAGTCAGAGCAGAGGATTCCTGGGTAGCTAGGACCTGGCGTCTGGACACCTCCAGGTCAACACTTCCCGTTTCCCGAGGTAGGTAAGTAAAGCCTCCCGGTGAAGGCGAAGCAGAGAGACAGTAATGGAGCCAACATGCGAGAGCAGCACCTGGCCTCCCCGGGGGCCAGTGAGATTCAACTGCCACTCTGGGAGGAGGGAGAGAGTTCTGGGGGGTGGGGCTGGGTAGGGAGGTCGGCCCTTCGCCCGGAAAGGCGCTTCCACGGGCCCGCGCACCCCCATCCCTCGGAGAGTCCTGCCCCCGCCCAGGGGCCTCTGTCCCCCCCCCCCGGGTCTCTCCGCTCGCACATCTGGGGACACCACGGGTTCGGGGATGGGAAGTTTCCCACGGGTGCCGCACGCCGGCCCGCACCCGCCGGGGACGCGCCCTCCCCGCCGCCTCTCGCGAGCAGCGCCCCCGCCCCTTCCCGGCCCCGCACGGCCACCCGCCTGTTGGCGGTGGGGGGACCCGGGGCTCCCCAGCGGGGGGAGTCCCGGCTGCCGAAGCCACTCACGTGTCCAGGCGGATTTTCTTAAGCGCCACCACCTCTCCCGTCAACTTGTTCTTGGCTTTGTACACGACCCCGTACGTGCCCTCTCCGATCTTCTCCACCTTTTGGAAGTTCTCCATGAAGCGCTGGCGAGTCGGGGCAGCCGGGCCCTGGAGCGGGGACCTGGGAACCCTGCGGAGAGCAAGCCGAAGGGGCCGAGGCGGGGAAAACGGAGCCCAGCACGGTGGCCCCGGGTCGAGATGGAACGCAGTGTATGTCTGGCTCTTGTCAATTTGTCCAACTTAAAACAATGTTGCCGCCTCCCCCCTCCCCCCGTTCCCGACCGCCACCAGACGCCCCGCCCCTCCTTCCCGCGTTTCCACGACTCCGCCCTCGGCTCTTCTTATTGGTCAACGTCACAGAGGGCGGGGCGACCCCGGGCTCCTCGCGGCAAATGATCCTGCCCCGTGCAAGTTTGTTTCTGAGGAGCAAGACAAGTTTCTTCCGCCCTGCGGCGGCTGAGGACCTTTTCCCAAGTTCCCGATTTGGGTTCTGAGTTTTTTACCTGTGTCTCTGGTCTGGAGAGATTCCCGGATCTCCAACTATTTTCACCACCCCTTGGGAAAATGTGTATCGACCTAAGATTAATTTCCACCTGAGCAGGGAGCCTCCTTTGAAAAACAGAAAGCTGGGAATCTCATCCCTAAGAATTCCTGGGCCTCAGAAAGAGGGAAGAGTGCCTCAGTTTCTCAGCCTACACGGGTATTGTCCCTCTCTGCTTTTAGATGGAAAGGTTCTGGCCGGGCATGGTGGCGCACGCCCGTAATCCCAGTACTCGGGAGGCTGAGGCAGGAGGATCGTTGAGAGTTCGAGACCAGCCTAGGCTACAAAGTGAGCTCATGGCCGGCCTGAACTGTGCAGCGAGACCCTGTCTCAAAAAGACCAAAAAAAAAAAAGATGGAAGGGTTCTGTTTCTGCCTTCTTGAGAGGTTCCCGGTTTGACTGATTGATGCACTCCTCCATGATGAATTCCGTGCGTCTGGTATGTGTTACGTAGCTGTCTCTCGATTCTTTCCCTGGTGCCGGAGTGTGGCAAGATGAGCGAGACCCAGTGAAGCCACAAAGGGGCCTTGCGTAGCAGGTTAGAGAAGGAAGGTCCAGGGACTTGGAGCACTTGTCAGTTCTGTGTCTCTGGTGTCCTTCCGCCCCTCCCACGCCACCCCTAGAAGGAGAAGAGGGAGGGCTATGCAAATGAGCACCCCTCTCTTATATAGGGGCTCATTCCAGCCCCCCAGCGCCTTTGGTTGCTGGAAGAAAGAACAGGATGGATATGTCGCCCAGAAAGTGCCTTCTGCACTTGTCTGTCCTGAGTGCCTTGTTGGTTGTGGGGATCACAGAAGGTGAGTGGGGGAAGGGGAGCTCTGCGAATCAGATTGATTTCCCACCTCACAACGTGAGAGAGCAGCAATACTTCACATTTCCTCCACCTACTTGGTTTAGGGAGTATATGGGTAACTGACCTCCCGCCCTGCATGGAAATTTGGGATCGAGCATGAAAATGATCCTGTCTGCTTGGAAGGGCAGAAGGATAGTGGATCTTTGTGGCACTAATCTGAGGTCCTCTGGGCAGTGAGCTGGAGCAGGAGCTCCGAAAGGGTGAAATGGGTGGGAGATTCTTTCTGGTGATGTCCCAGGTACATGAAGTAGGGGATTTAAAGTGGGGGTAAGAGAAGGTGGTGCTGAATAAGAAGGAGAAGGAGACACCACCTTCCCCCCTCGGAATGGGCATGGGTATTGGGTATGGGTGAGCACCGCCTGGACATACTCTTCTGGAGCTGAGAAAGACAGGCAGGGGGTCTCAGCTGAGCATCACATGAAAGGGCTTTGGGGGATTGGCGCCTCGTGACAGGAGATGGGGGGGGGTGGCCAGAGGGTCTGGAATGTCCCATGCTGCCCTGAGGAGGGAGGGTTGGAAGTGGAAAAAGAATGGAGCATCTATGACCTCTCTTGCTCTAGTGATGGGATGTTCCAATTCTAGATCATGCCCTAGGGGGATCTCCTAAATGCCCAGTGTGGTTAGAAATGAGGCAAGGAGCCCTGTGTTATGGTGCCTGCCTGTAATCCCAGCACTCAGAAGGTTGAGGCAGGAGTGAATTCGAGAATTCGAGACCGGTATTAGCTACATATAGTGAGACCCTGTATCAAGAAAAAAAACAAAAAGAAAGAAAGAAAAGAAAAAGGAAGAGAAAAGAAAAGAGGTGAGGATCAGTTTTGCTGTGCTGAAATACAGACATCGTATGCCAGCCTGCCTTCCCTTCCCTAGATCCCGGCTCTCACAGGCCTCTAGGAAGTTCTTGAGCTGACATCCCTCATTCATGCTGAGGTTTCAAGACTTTTACTATGTTCCTTAATGTTTTCTGCAAACATTCTGTTCACACCTATTCAAAGAGGCTTTTAAAAGATTGCACTTTTTTTTTTTTTTTTTTT